TTTGAGTAATGTGTTTGCTTGAAAAAAAAAATGTCGTCTTTTCAAATGTCTTCAAATAAGGTTAAAAAGATCATCAAACAAACAGACGGTGTTCTACTATCAATTGTTAGTCTACGGAAAATTTTAATTTGATAATTTTACAATCAGAGACGCGGAAGTGTGGCTGAAACGAATAGAAAAACAAATTAGATTATGTAAACGGGTAATTCGTAGTAGAAGGCAAAATAAATTATCTGTAGGGACCTGTAGAAAAGTAGAAACAAATTTGGGGCATTTTAAACATTTTAGAAAGTTGATTTTAACTAGACATATTGGGGCAGGACTTCACTTAACATTGGGTCAGAGGGTTAGATGGGAAAATGTAGAATCGAGCTTTCAAAGTAGAATAAAAACCGGTTCCATAGCTAATTTGCGTCATAAGGACTTGAATCAATTTTTAGCAGATTGTGTAGTTGTTTTTAAAAGGAAAATTAGGAATATTTTGAACACCCATTGTGCGCTCAAAGTAAATACAACATTTTGCGGGGAGTTTATTAGGAAATCGGGGGATAATGAAATTTTGGGAATTAAATATATTAATACTAAAAATCATATTATTGATACATCAACTCAAATAGACGAGTGGTTTAAGATATATGTGAAAGATAAACTTTTAAACGAATTATCGGAATTTGCTGAAAAAGATTCGGGATTTGCGTTAAATAAAATTATTTCCTTAGTTGTTAATATCAGTAAATATCAATTGGGAAACGGTTCATCTTATATTAGACTACCAGAACCGATTATAAGGAAAAATGCTTGTATAAACATTAAAATATAGATCAAAATTGCTTTTACTGGGCCATTGTAAGCGCTCTTCGGACTCCTAGCAAAAAAAGACATGCAGAACTAACCTCCTCATATCCACACTTTACTGACGTTTTACAAACAGAAAATTTAGATAGTCCTATGCTGCTAACAAAAATTTCAAAATTTGAAAAGATGAATAACATTTCAGTCAATGTTTACGCTTTAGAATTGATCGAAACAGAAAAAAAATCATTTTACATAGTAGTACCAGCAAGATTAACGGAAAATAAACGGGATACGCATGTTAATTTACTTTTAGCTCAAAATAAATATTATCCGCGTTTAAATGATTATGATGCTCCTCCACCAGCGCCAGCAAATGAAGATAATGATTCAATCGATGAAATTAAATATCACTATTGT